GTGGACCTGGCCGTCGCTTGCCGTGCGGCGCCTTTGCGAAAACTCGACGGAAGTGTCAGGGACCCGGGATTACCTGCGAATGCCGGGCGCCTCCTGCTCCGCTGTGCGCGCGTGGGGCGGGACTCGGAGGGGGAGGGGTCGTGTATGTTGTCCCACCTGGCGCGATGAAGCTGGGCAGCGCAGAGGATTTCTTTTTTGGTCTTGAGGGCATAGAGTCCCTTTTCATATTCACGTGTACTCTTAAGAAAGCGTCTGTTCTCCAAACTGGCTTTCCATTCTCCCCGTCCTAAATGGTGCGTGGCTGACACCGTAGTGTTTTCAAAACTGGATTTGGCCAGGATGCTATAGCATTGTCAGTGTAAGTGCCTTTTGGCTATTTTTATTTAATTGTGTGGTGACTTGACAGAAGTGTTTCCCAGCTTGACATAGGTAATGAATTTGCATAGGATTTCAGCATCAGTATGGAAGTGATCAGATGTCAGTGGTTGGTGCCACCTTGCAAATAAATGGCCACTGGTCCACGTAGGTCGTGTTTATACATTTTGAGCAAGTTCTCTAGGACCAGCTGACTGGTAATTATAAGTCACAGGAAACCCTGCAGAGATGAGAGCTAACATTGAACACTTAAGTTTTCTATTCTTTGTTTCATCTGTTACAATTAAACTCACTTTTGTCTAGGGTAAGACCATTAGTTTACGCAATAACATACTAGCTTAATTTACGGTATTTATATATAGTGTATATATAATCATATATATATAGTTGTATAACATTTAGTTTGACTCTAAAGTTGGAAAATTAGGAAAATAACAGGTGATGTTGAGTACTGATTGTTTGCGTGGCCTGTGCCAAATGGTGTGCATGCTTTATGTCACTTAATCTCAAAAGATTTGAATACATGAGTTTGATTTCAGTGTGTCCACATGTGAAACGTGTACATTATTGTTATTGTTTTGTTTTTTTGAAACGGGGTTTTGCTTTTGTTGTCCAGGCTGGAGTTCAATGGCACTATCTTTACTCACTGCGACCTCCGCCTCCCGGGTTCAAGCGATTCTCCTGCCTTAGCCTCCCAGGTAGCTGGGATTACAGGCGCCTGCCACCACGCCCAGCTAAGTTTTATATTTTTAGTGAAGACGGGGTTTCACCATGTTGGCTAGGCTGGTCTCGAACTCCAGACCTCAGGTGATCCGCCTGCCTTGGCCTCCCAAAATGCTGGGATTACAGGCGTGAGCCACAGCCACCGCTCCCAGCAAACGTGTACATTAAATACTTGTTTCTGCTTTTGTAAAATAAGAGTGTTGGCAATATAAAATGTTACCCATAGAGTAAATTAATGTGTTGTTTCAAGTTGGAATATGGCTTTAAAAATTCATAAAAGTACAATTAGTCCCTTTATTTAGGTGCTGAATAGTTTCCAAAGCCCTGTGTCTCTTATTTATCAAAGTCTCCACTATATAACATTGTCGCCCAGTGAACAGGCTATGCTAGGACATTGGAAAAAGGTAAATATTGAGAAAGCCCTAATGGTCCTTTGTTAAATGGCCCCCTCTTTCCATATTTAATTTCTAAGTGACATTCCTAATTAAGGGTAAACAAACATAGTGAAACAAGACTAATTTTCTAATACCAAACTAAAAAAAAAAACAAAAAACAGTGGACTGGCTATTTGTTGATGAGTCTAGCGCAGTTTTACTGGGCATTTGAATGTTAAGGATGTTATTTACATTGTAGGTAGTTGTGAAAGATTTGTGTGTCTTAAGTTTTTGGTTTGCCTTTAAATGTCTTGAATATATGCTTAGTATTGAGTCCATTACTTTGTGCATTAATAGTAAGTTTTTGATTGGATTTAATTGAATAGTTTTGGCTTCCTTAATTTTATTTTGAAGATAGAATTTAATGATTTGTGTAGGCATAACAGTTCCAATTAACAATGATTCTGAGATGAGCGTAGGGTTTAACTTAACAGTTCACATTTTCTTGGGAGTTGAAAGGACTGGAGAGTTGGATGTGTGTCTTCTTTGTGATTAAAAAGCACGTGGAACTTAGCTATCAGAAGATTCTGGTGGTCTGTCTTTGGGAAGAGGAAAAGATTAAGAATGCTTTGCTAGTCAGTATTTACAAAAGGGTTTCTTTACTTAAAGTCATTTTCTTTGGGGAGGGGAGGAGTTGAGAGTTGTCATCAATGGAAGGATCTTAGAATGAAAAAGATGTACATGTTTTCTTTTGGAGTGAATTTGTGACTGGAGATGGGGTTTCATCGTGTTAGCCAGGATGGTCTCGATCTCCTGACCTCATGATCCGCCCGCCTCAGCCTCCCAAAGTGCTGGGATTACAGGTGTGAGCCACTGTGCCCGGCCTATGTGCTTTTTAAAGATGGCACTGATTTAGAATACAGTATATTACAGTACATGAAAAAATTTTGGAATTTCTGTATGGTTGTCACTGTTGGAAAGCCATAGTGAGTGTAATAACAGCATTGGCTCCTGTTCATAAGGCGTTTAAATGATGTGTTTCCTATGACAGGAAGACAAGCCTTTCTCATTCCTTCAAAATTTGGCTCTCAGATGGAGTGCCCTTTAAGCTCCCTGAATGCAGGGACTTCTTCTGTTTCACTCATTGTCTTTTCCCTGGGGCCTAGAACAGAACCTGGCAAACAGTGCTACGTAAACCTTTGTAGAATGAGCACGTTCCACTTTCCACTAGTGAAGATCCCACCTGCCTTTAGGTGCAGGGCCACTCCAGCCTCACTTTCTCTGCAATCTGCAGCCCACAATGACTCTTTGAACATTTACTGTGTATACCACACTCTGTGACAGTTAATCTTTTATAGCTTTATATTGATACATGAGTGTTTCATGTATTTTGTTTCCTCACCCAAAATATAAGCTCTTCAATGCTATGGGATGTCCTATTTTTGAGAATTGCCTTGGTATCCGGTATAATATATAATATTATATATTACATCTATAATAGATAATATATATTACATCTATAATAGATAATATATATTACATATAATATAATATTATTACATCTATTTTATATAATATATATTACATCTATTATATATTATATATGTAATAATATTATATAGAATAGATGTAATATATATTTTATATATAGAGAGAGTGGGTTTATATTTACCTATTAAACGAATATTACTGTGGGGAAACATCAAAGATATTCAGAATGGTAGGTAATATTTTAGTTAGGCAAACCTAGTGTACACATGTGAAACAGTACTAGAATTTGGAGCTAAATAAGAGTTAATACTTATGTTGTGCTTAAAATGTGAACCTCACAACAATCCTTTGAAGTAGGTACAATTATTTCCTCATTTTTCAGAGGAAGAAATGGAGACACAGCAAAGTAATTAAGTTTCTTGCTCAAGATAGTACCGGAAATCATAAGGAGGCAGTCTGGCTCCAGAGGCAGTGTGGTTTCTCTGGGGATATTTACTTTATACTTCGAAGGGAGATCTAAGCACTACTTTTGCAGCTGTAAGGATGCTCTTTTAAAAATTTCAAAGTAGCGTAAGAGATTGCAGTGTCTCTAAACTGCAGAAGGAATGCTGGATTTTCTATAGAGAGGACATTGATAATGGAATGGTTAAGGGGACATTATATATTGAAATGACTAAAGATGGGGGAGAGAAACTGAAGTTTGAATCTCAAAGCTGAGGATTATAATTCTTTATAGATGCTGAATTCTAGAACAGTGATTCACTAGGACATAGGACAATGACTGCTTGTTACTAATTTAGTATCAAAAAACTTATGCCAAATAAAATAATATTGAATGACACTGGATATCTTACTGCATTTCTTTTTTTAAACGCTTACCAGATTTGATGCCCTAGCGGTAGTAATTTACCTTAATGTGGGTGTTACTAAAGGTTTCCCATACACTTCTGTCCATTTGCTTTGTCTTTTTGTGAAAAAAAAATTTTTTTTTTTTTTGAGACAGGTTCTCACTCTGTCGTCCGGGTTAGAGTGCAGTAGTGTGATCTCACTGCAGCCTCTGCCTCAAGCAATCCTCCCACCTCAGCCTCCAGAGTAGCTGGGGCTACAAGCACGCACCACTGTGCTCAACTAATTTTTAAACTTTGTGTAGAGATGAGGTCTCACTATACTGCCCAAGCCAGTCTTGAACTCCTGGGCTCAAACAACCCTCCTCCTCAGCGTCCTAAAATGCTGGGTATGTCAGTGAGCCATTGTGCCTGGCCTTTTTGTATAATTTATTTTTTTTTAGACAGGATCTGGCTTTGTCGCCCAGGCCGGAGTGCAGCAGCACCATCTCGCCTCACTGCAGCCTCCGCCTCCCGGGTTCAAGTGATTCTCCTGCCTCAGCCTTCTGAGTAGTTGTGATTGTAGGCACTTGCCACCACACCAGCTAATTTTTGTATTTTTAATAGAAGACAGGGTTTCACCATGTTGGCCAGGCTGGTCTCAAACTCCTGACCTCAGGTGATCCACCCACCTTGGCCTCCTAAAGTGCTGGGATTACAGGTGTGAGCCACCATGCCCAGCTTTTTTGTAGAATCTTGATCCACTTTTTCAGGTTGTATTGAGCAATAGAGAACACTGTTGGGGTCAGGAGGTCTCTTCAAACCAAGTAATACTGTGGTGGAAAAAAATGTAAAATTGCGTGGTTGATTTGGTGACACACCTGGAATAAAGTCAGTTTGAAGCTGTTTAGAATTAGATGAGGGCCTACAAATATCAGCAAGATGAAGAACAGTGGTATTTCTCTGAAAGCGTCAGTATGTCTCCCTTTTGTTGGGAGCTGACAGTATGATTTTGGGGGGCATTGGGCATCAACGGTCACTGAATCTAAATGGCTCCACAGATAGGGGAGTATATACATCACCATACCAGCTGTCCAAGAATCAGGAGGAAGTACCCTTGAATGAAGCATGGGCTGCAAGCCTGGTTAGCAGCCAGGGAGGACACACATACACGTTGCAGGTACAGTATTCTGTATTACACAGATTGTTTCCACTGGGAAGGCTGTTATGTCATTTATCTTGAGGGTAGCTTCAGAATTTGAGTCAGTGATGAAATGACGTACTGCTTTCGTTATGCTCCCGTAAGAAGAACATTACATATTTTGGGATGGCCTGCGTAAAAGAAACTTGTGATAATGAATGTTGACCTACACCTTGTGTTCTGTTTAAGTATCTGAGGAAGTAATTTGGAAAACTTGAATTAAAATAATCTATATTGAAGTTTTTATCCAATTTGCACGTTAGCCCTAATCTTCATTTCAGGCTCTTCCCTGAATGGAAAACTTTTAGGGAAAGAGAGAGTGATACACTGATGAATTTATTTTTAGCCTACAAAGCTAGGATAATTTAATGAAATCTCTACTAGCGTCATGTTATGAATTTTAGGGTTGGAGAGCTAGATTCTGGACATGATCTATTCTTTAACTAGGAATGTACAGCAGAATGACCCAGGATTTATCCTGAAAGTAACACTTAACCCTTGAGATGCAGATTTGGTAGAGCTGCTGCCACAGGCCCTGGATATCAGTATTAAAACATCCTTAAGTGATTCTGGTGCCTCTTCTCCCGTAAGAAAAACCAGTACTGTATTTTATATTTAAGAAGACCTGGGCAAACAAATGACTTGCCTAGATTTGGTTCAGTGGTACGAAGATTTAATCACCAGATAATACAGTTTCAGAATCCTATGGCTGGAAGAAGTTTACCAAGTCATCAATTCAGTAGTTCATCTTACAGTGGATTGTAAACCATGCTTGTCAATTATTTGCAGTACTTTTATTGTATACCCTGTGATGCCCTTTTAAGTTTTTTTGAAAATACTATATACTTAAAACTGAAGTAAAACATTAAAATTTCTTATTAGAATTATTTTTCAGTCTTAGCTGAAATATAATATTGTATGAAAATTTGCACTGCATTATTAGTTTTTTTTTTTTTTAATCTAGTTGATTTTCAACTTTTCTTTTTTAAAGGCATCTCCTTGGAAACAGTGCCATCTTTGAATGTGAGAGATAAACCTAGTTTCAGCATATCTGCAGCAGAGACCAGTGCATCAGGCTTATTCCCACAGGAAGCCGCCTAAAGCCTGTGGCGCGGCAACCATTTCCAGGACTAAATAATAATGTGTCAGATGCCTGTGAGTGGACTGCCTGGCCAAATGACTCATGAAGATATTCACGGAAGAATAGTCAAAAAACAAAGAAAAGGCACATTATAGAAGGACCTTCAATTCCATCGAGGATTTTTGAGCAGCTAAAGAAGAAAGTTCTGAAAATATGAGTGACAGTTCTCCAGCATGTTTTTTTAGTTGTTTCTTACATTATCTTTGTTAAGCCATCCGCTTTTGTGTATAATATTTGAGTTATTTTCCACTACTGCAATGGCTGATAATTTACTTAGGCTCAGAGTTTTACTCTGTATGGACAGAAACACAGGAGGTACCAACAGTGGGAGAACAAATAGGAACAGTTCACTGGGATGTTGGTCCCCAGAAATTGGCTTTTATTGAATAATTCCTAAAGGGTGTGGTGTGCTGAATTGCTTTTTCATGGTGATGTGCTGCTGCTTGTTCATACCCATATGACTTTAATTTCACCTTCCTTTATCTACTCCCAGCCTCGGTATATGCCTACTTTTTTTTGAATAATTTTTGGCACTAAAGATCTGATTACCATATTTTTTCAATTTAAAAATTATATCTTCACAAATAGACCTTTGGTATAGTTGCATTTTACCCTAGGTTATTTTCTAGGATCAAGAATAGAACAATTTCTGTTCTTTCCAGCATTATTCTTTACTAATCATATGTTCTTGTTGAGTGTTTTGTTGTTCTCATATTCTAGGTGAAAATGAAGGGTAATCTCTGTGTTCTATTTTCAGTTTTCTGGGAGATCAGAAAAACATGGGTAATAGAAATGTATGGAAAATTTACAAGGTCTCTTAACCATTGTGTTAAACTTGCATTAAGCTTCTTTTTTAACAATATTGATGTCAGTGTTACCTCTTCTTTCCTTTTTATTTATTTATTTATAGACAGAGTCTCATTCTGTCTCCCAGACTGGTTGGAGTGTGATGATGCAGTCATGGCTTACTGCAACCTCTGCCTCCCAGGTACAAGTAATTCTCGTGCCTTGGGCTCACGAGTAGCTGGGATATTTAGTAGAGACCAGGCTTCACCATATTGGCTAGGTTGGTCTTGAACTCCCAACCTGAGGTGATCCACCCACCTCAGCCTCCCAAAGTGTTGGGATTACAGGCGTGAGCCACCATGCCAGGCCCCTTTTGTTGTTTTGAGGGGCAGGCAGTAAGAAGCAGGGATTTCTTCAAATGCTAGTAAGCACAAAGAGAGAGAGGAAGAAGTTTTTGTAATTAACGAATGAACAGGGCCAGGCATGGTGGCGTGAGACGCCAAGGTGGGCGGATCACAAGGTCAGGAGTTCGAGACCAGCCTGAGCAACATGGTGAAACCCTGCCTCTACTAGAAATACAAAAATTAGCCAGGCATGGTGGTACACGCCTGTAATCCCAGTTAGTCAGGAGGCTGAGGCAGGAGAATCGCTTGAACCTGGGAGGTGGAGGTTGTAGTGAGCTGAGATCACGCCACTGCACTTCAGCTGGGCGACAGAGCGAGACTCTGTCTCAAAAAAAAAAAAAAATAGTCGATCATTAAGGCCATTAATGTGCATGGACAGTTTTTTTGAGATGGAGTCTTACCCTGTTGCCCAGGCTGGAGTGTGATGACTCAGTCTCGGTAAATATAAACCTGCTCTGCAACCTCCACCTCCTGGGCTCAAGTGATTCTCGTGCTTCAGCCTCCCAAGTAGCTGGGATCACAGGCATGCGCCACCACGCCCAGCTAATTTTTGTATTTTTAGTAGAGATGGGGTTTTACCATGTTGGCCAGGCTGGTCTTGAATTCCTGCCCTCAAGTGATGCACCTGCCTCACCCTCCCAAAGTGCTGGGATTATAGGTGTGAGCCACTGCAGCTGGCCTAATAGACACATTTTTAGTAAGTAGTTTGTTGATTAGAATGAACAGCACTTGCCATGTCGTTGTTTTTAGCTATTATGGCTAAGTCAACTTCATCAACATTTTTTTCTTCTGTAAATTGAGGACAATTTTTACTTTTATGAATGAAGTCTTACCCAGCAGGGAGAAGTATAAACAAAGAAACGTATTTTTAATTTAATGAAGCAAAATTCCATACATCATTTTAAAAATAGTGTTTCTTTCCCTGATAGGCCTCTTCGCATCATTCTTTTAGCTTCCTTTTGCCCTGCTTATCACTTGGTCCCACTTTTATATTTTTCCTCTTCAGTCCAGAATTTCTTGTTTAGTTTCTTGTATTTTACCTACTCCCTCCCTTCTCCATGATTCAGCCTAGTCTTTCCGCCCTCTCTGGATTTGGGTGTGCCTCCTTCCTGTGGGCCACCTCATCTTTTGCTGCTGTTAGCCCTCCTGCCTGCTCACCTGCCGCTTCACCCTCGCCTGTGGTCCACTCGCATACCACTCAGCCCGGTCAGTCCTGCTCCGTTCTCCACTGCTTCGGTCTCCCATGTGTTTTTATCTAGCTCTGGTCCCTTCTCGTCTCCACATTTATTTTGTTTTCTTACTGTGCTTGTTAGTCCTTGTGCACTTGGTCCTTGAGCTCTTTTTCTATTAATAGGTATTACTAGATGGATTTGTTGTCTGCCTTTACATAGAACACACATCCGTAATGTGCATTTCCTGGGTAGCCGGGATGAATCAATTTTTATTAACTTTCCTTCCAACATTGAGCTTCCTGTGTTTTCTGCTTCTAAGAATTAGATTAGTATTCTAGAAGACTAATACAACTTTAAAGACAGTCAAGATAGTCATACGCTACCATTTCAGCCCTTTATTCTAGAGTTTGTGACATTTCTCACTCCCTTAAAAGATTAAAGAACACCCAAAGCAAGTTTGGGGTGGAGGTGGGGAAGGGCAGGAAGAGAAAGGTAAGTGCTATAAAAGGACTCATTGTTAATTTCTAGAAATTGGACTGAAATCTGAAAACAGAAGCCTTAACATTTTTTAGATAGAAGATCCCTGAAAAGAATAAAAAGTATCCGTACTTCTGTTAACTAGTTTTAGTATTGGGTCATTTGTAGTTTACATTCTCCTTTAAGTTTTAAGACCTTCAGTGTTTAACGAAGCAGAGACTGACCAGGCACAGTGGCTCACACCTGTAATCCCAGCACTTTGGGAGGCCGAGGTGGGCGGATCACAAGGTCAGGAGATTGAAACCATCCTGGCCAACATGGTGAAACCCCGTCTCTACTAAAAATACAAAAAAAAAATTAGCTGGGCCTATGGCGGGCACCTGTAGTGCCAGCTACTGGGGAGACTGAGGCAGGCGAATCGCTTGAACCCGGGAGGTGGAGGTTGCAGTGAGCTGAGATCACACCATTGCACTCCAGCCTGGGTGACAACGAGACTCAAAAAAATAAAATAAAATAAAATAAATAGAGACTTAATCTTGTAAATACTCATTTTATTTTTGAGAGGCTTGATGTCTCCTTAAATATTAACCTGTGACATTTTGTAATTATACTGTAATAGTGTCAGAATGCCATTAACAACCAACCCTTTTCGTTTCTTGTGTGGGAAAGCTTATAAATTATGTGGTCTTGCCCCTCTGGATCCTGTAGTTGTAGCATAGTGAAAATGGAGCTTTTGGTAAAACTTTGTATTATGCTGTTGACTCACATTGTTTCATATTTTTCTTTTATACTTCTGTATTCTATGAATATGGTGCTGTCCTGTCATTGAATTATTATAATGTATGTGAACTGCTGGAGGTAGACTGATGTGAGTACAGCTCTTCAACTTAAAAACCCTTATATATCACATTTGTGGTGTTTAAGATACAAGAATAGCCCTACAAAGAGGGGATGATTGTATTGAATATTTTTTCTGCTGAGCCTGCCTTAATTGTGAGGGTGGTGGTTTGGGTATCTTGGAGCTAAAAGAATGGCTAAGAGTCCACTAATGGTCCTGTAGTGTTTACCATCCCTGAGCAGTTAGTAAAGAAAGGTCGCAAAGCCACAGTGAGGCTACTAACAAGGAACTTACGTCGATGTGCCAGGTCTGGCCTGTGTTCTGGAACTATAGAGATGAATAAGGTATGGTCCTTTCTCTCTGGAGGGTCACAATTGAATAGGGAATATTAATACATGAATGATTGCAGTACAGTGTGACAAATGCTAAAATATATGCATGTAGCAGCTATTACAGGAGAACTGATTAATAGGGAGAGTCTGGCCGGGCTCGGTGGCTCGCGCCTGTAATCCCAGCACTTTGGGAGGCCTAGGCGGGCAGATCACTTGAGGTCAGGAGTTTGAGACCAGCCTGCCCAACATGGTATAAACCCTGTCTCTACTAAAAATACAAAGAAAATTAGCCAGGCGTGGTGGCGGGCATCTGTAATCCCAGCTACTGGGGAGGCTGAGGCAGGAGAATTCCTTGAACCCGGGAGGCGGAGGTTGCAGTGAGCTGAGATCATGCCACTGCACTTCAGCCTGGGCGACAGAATAAGACTGTCTCAAATACAAAACGAAAAAAACTAACCATATTACTTTATAGTCTGTCCCCTCAGACTATAGTTTTTTAACTAAAAAAAACCCCTTTTTTTTAGTTAAAAGAAGTTTATTTAGCCTGATCAGTTTACCAGATGTCTTTTTCAGTGACTTTTGTCTCTTCCATAAATCCATTCTCAAAATTTGCAACAGTTGAGCATATTTGACCAAAATGTGCCACAGGCTTCTGAAGCCTATTCAAGAAGAAGCATGTCAGCATTATTGGAGTAGGTTTTCGCCATGACTGCTTTTGGGAAGATTGGAGTAAAATTTATGGATACAGAAGTTTTGGAGTATGTTGGGAAATTACTAAGTCTTTTTATAGTTGTAATCCCAACACTGGATTATATATATTTAATACCAACCTGAGTATATTTCCTGAATAATATCTTTTTTGGAGACTTGGACAAAGTTAACCTTTTTGCTTTTTTAAAAGGTGCTGCTTAAACTAACTTCCTTTAACAGAACCAGACTAAACAATCTGCATTTCTAATGTAGAAAAAATATGGCACAGTGATTTGATATTTTGTTTATGGTTTATTATCTTCCTAAATTATCAGTTCTTTAAAATATGGGTCTCTGGCCTGTATACCATCTGATAAATTAGGTTGGGTAAATTTTTCACCTGAAAAAATTCATTCTTCTGACCCAGGTTGTATGGCTTGGAAAAAAAAAAAAATCACATATTCATTGCATGATTAAACTTGTCCATTAGATTGTGATTTTGCACGTTATAAGGATTGTAACTGGGGTAATTTTAAAATGTTGGTATTTGGATAGAACTACCAGCCCAGGATTTTGATAAAAATCAAAATATATATTGTATATAAAGTTTCTTTTTAAAAAGTTATTATTTCACTTATAATCAAAAGGTTTAAATAAGTTTAGTGTATATTTTATGATTATTATTATTTTGTATCTATTCAGAGATAGGAAAACTGCATTCCCATAGAAAGGGAGACATGGTGCATTAATATTCCAAAGCTTAGTTTAAGCTGGTGATGATTAGAAAAGTGGCTTTCATTTGTGTTTTCTAGAAGATTCTCAGTAGTCCTGTGGGCATGTGAACAACAGCATGTATAATCTCCATAATGAATGTCTTGTTAGCAGAAATG